TTCGGCCTTTTCCTTGGGATTGGTTCTTATTTGTACATCGTTATTCTATATTCTATCTAACTCCTATTTTGTAGCTGCTGCGCAGCTACTTATTTACGTAGGAGCTATAAATGTTTTAATCATTTTTGCTGTGATGTTCATGAATGGCTCAGAATATTACAAGGATTTTCATCTTTGGACCGTAGGAGATGGAATTACTTCGATGGTTTGTATAAGTCTTTTTATTTCACTAATTACTACTATTTCAGATACGTCATGGTACGGGATTATTTGGACTACAAGATCAAACCAGATTATAGAGCAAGATTTTCTAAGTAATAGTCAACAAATTGGAATTCATTTATCAACAGATTTTTTTCTCCCATTTGAACTTATTTCCATAATCCTTTTAGTTGCTTTAATAGGTGCAATTGCTGTAGCTCGTCAATAAAAAATTTCTATTAAAACTTGGAATTCAAATAAAATTTTGTTCTGTCTTATCACATTAATTTTCCTTGAATTCTATTTGAATTCTAGCTGGATAAATAGAAAGACTTTAGGTCAATCTAGTACCAATCTATTTCTTTGTTCCATACTTGTTATATACTAGTCAATGAAATTAGTTGAATTGTTGTTCATATTGAAAGGAGTCGAGATTGATAAGGAGTTGTTTAATGATTCTCGAACATGTACTTGTTTTGAGTGCCTATTTATTTTCTATCGGTATCTATGGATTGATCACAAGTCGAAATATGGTTAGAGCCCTTATGTGTCTTGAACTTATATTGAATGCGGTTAATATAAATTTTGTAACATTTTCTGATTTTTTTGATAATCGTCAATTAAAGGGAGACATTTTCTCAATTTTTGTTATAGCTATTGCAGCCGCTGAAGCAGCCATTGGCCTGGCTATTGTTTCATCAATTTACCGTAACAGAAAATCAACTCGTATCAACCAATCAAATTTGTTGAATAATTAATATTAATCATCTAGATTCTAATATTGAGAAATCAATTTTAATTAGCATGTTTACTACGTAAAGTATGATCTTGTTTGCAAAACATAAGAAATCAAAGTATTTTGGCCTCTCTCATATCTCATAAACCAATCCAGAAAGGGGTTGATTAGAAAATCATGATAACTCATTGATTCATCTGGTATCTAAATATATGATTCGTTTCTAAGTTTACTAGATCGAAAATTTATAACATTCAAAAACGTATAGACCCAATGTCACATTCAGTAAAGATTTATGATACGTGTATAGGATGTACTCAATGTGTCCGAGCCTGCCCCACTGATGTATTAGAAATGATACCTTGGGACGGTTGTAAGGCTAAACAAATTGCTTCTGCTCCACGAACAGAGGACTGTGTTGGTTGTAAGAGATGTGAATCCGCCTGTCCAACAGATTTCTTGAGTGTCCGAGTTTATTTATGGCATGAAACAACTCGCAGTATGGGTCTAGCTTATTGATACGTTCGAGAAAACTCTACTTGAATCCATTTAATTTTTTTACCGACAAACCTGTGCTCGAAAATAAAAATATTTTGAGCACGGGTTTTTTTGGTCCAAGTGTATCTTGTCTTTACTACGAATTATTTTCCTTGGTTAACAATAATTGTCGTTTTTCCGATATTTGCGGGTTCTTTAATTTTCTTTCTTCCCCATAAAGGAAATAGGGTAATTAGGTGGTATACGATATGTATATGTATTTTAGAACTCCTTCTAACAACTTATGCATTTTGTTATCATTTCCAATCGGATGATCCATTAATCCAACTAGTAGAGGATTATAAATGGATCGATTTTTTTGATTTCCATTGGAGATTAGGAATAGATGGACTTTCTATAGGACCCATTTTATTAACAGGATTTATCACTACTTTAGCGACTTTAGCGGCTTGGCCAGTTACTCGAGATTCTAGATTATTCCATTTTCTCATGTTAGCAATGTACAGTGGTCAAATTGGATCATTTTCGTCTCGGGACCTTTTACTTTTTTTCATCATGTGGGAGTTAGAATTAATTCCTGTTTATCTACTTCTAGCCATGTGGGGAGGAAAGAAACGTCTGTACTCAGCTACAAAATTTATTTTGTACACGGCGGGGGGTTCTGTTTTTCTCTTAATGGGAGTTTTGGGTGTTGCTTTATATGGTTCTAATGAACCAACATTAAATTTTGAAACATCAGTTAATCAGTCATATCCTGTGGTTTTAGAAATAATCTTCTATATTGGATTTTTTATTGCTTTTGCTGTCAAATCGCCCATTATCCCCCTACACACATGGTTACCAGATACCCATGGAGAAGCACATTACAGTACTTGTATGCTTCTAGCCGGAATCTTATTAAAAATGGGAGCGTATGGATTAATTCGAATCAATATGGAATTATTACCTCATGCCCATTCTATATTTTCTCCTTGGTTGATGATAATAGGTACAATACAAATAATCTATGCAGCTTCAACATCTCTTGGCCAACGGAATTTAAAAAAAAGAATAGCCTATTCCTCTGTCTCCCATATGGGTTTCATAATTATAGGAATTAGTTCTCTAACCGATACGGGACTTAATGGAGCCCTTTTACAAATAATCTCTCATGGATTTATTGGTGCTGCACTTTTTTTCTTGGCGGGAACGACTTATGATAGAATCCGCCTTGTTTATCTTGACGAAATGGGCGGAATAGCTATTCCAATGCCAAAAATGTTCACGATGTTCAGTAGCTTTTCGATGGCTTCCCTTGCATTACCAGGTATGAGTGGTTTTGTTGCCGAATTGATAGTATTTTTTGGAATAATTACCGGCCAAAAATATCTTTTAATTCCAAAACTACTAATTACTTTTGTAATGGCAATTGGAATTATATTAACTCCTATTTATTCATTATCTATGCCACGCCAGATGTTCTATGGATACAAGCTATTTAACGCCCCGAAGGATTCTTTTTTTGATTCTGGACCGCGAGAGTTATTTCTTTCGATCTCCATCTTTTTACCCGTAATAGGTATTGGTATATACCCCGATTTCGTTCTTTCATTAGCAGTTGACAAGGTCGAAGTTATTCTATCTAATTTTTTTTATAGATAATTGGATGACTGAAATAAAAAAACCTATGTTTGTTTTTAAAAACATTCTTGGACAATGAAAAAAAGAAGACTTTTTTTCTTCTCTTAACTTAAGAATTAAGTAAAAACAATGAAATTGAACTACATATGGTAGAAAACCGTGTGAATCATCAATACAATATTTGATTCACACGGTCCGCATGCTGGTTCATACAATGCGTCGCCCGCTCTTGTATTTGTAATAACTTGTCTTGAATTCAATTAAATGTTGATGGAAAAGAACCATAACTATGTAACCCTATTCCTAATAGATTGACCCCAAAATAGCATATCCAAATTATAAGAAAACCTATAGACGCTACAATTGCAGAATTTGGACCCCGCAAATTTCTATTTGTTCGAGTATGTAAATAAATTGCAAATACGATCCAAGTAATAAATGCCCAAGTTTCTTTTGGATCCCAATTCCAATAGGACCCCCACGCTTCATTAGCCCATACCGCTCCCGAAAGGATTCCTATGGTTAAAAAAGTAAATCCTAAACTAATAACCCGATAACTCCAATAATCCAATTGTTGAATCAATTGGGACCTGTAATAATTTTGAGCACAAAAAAACGAAGTATTTTCGACAACATTTTCACCCAAGAAAAATGACTCGTTTAAAAAACCATTGCTCTTATAAAAAAGCTTTCTGTTTTTTCGAAATGTAATCACTAGAAGTGCTACTGATAATAACGATCCACATAAAAGGGCTGCATAGCCCAATATCATCATACTTACGTGCATTATTAACCACTCAGATTGAAGAGCAGGTACTAATATTCCAGATTGGTGTATTTCAGTTAAAATACCTGAAGTAGCAAAGCCTTGGGTCAAAATAGCACTTGGTCCAGTTATTTTACTTAAAATTAAAACATTTTTTTTGAAATATGGAATTATATGAATAAGGGAGAAACTCCATGAAAGGAAAATTAATGATTCATATAAATCGCTTAGTGGGAAATGTCCTGAAGAAATCCAACGAGTAACTAATAATCCTGTTATACAGAAAAAAGTAACTATTATGCCCTTTTCTGACGAATCGTATAGTTTTACAATTTCATCGACTAAAAAGGTTATCAAATGAATTGTAATTACAATTGAAACGATCGAAAAGGAAATGTGAGTTAATATATGCTCTAAGGTTGAAAATATCATAAAAAATCTTAAAAAAGAAGAGTCCCTTAATTACATAATTCTAAAATGGAAATCGGGAATTGAATTCATTATAAGATCTATTTATCCTTTTTAGAAGATGCTATGCCGCCACTCGGACTCGAACCGAGATGCATTAGCACTGCTTCCTAAGAGCAGCGTGTCTACCAATTTCACCATAGCGGCTTGTCTTGAACTCATAATAGCCTATGAATAAGCAATCGTCGAGATTGAGTAAGCTATTTTAGTTTAGTAATGATTCAAATGGATCAATAACAATAAAAAGTTGTTCAAATAGGAATTTGAGGTTGAAGGTTCATTATTTTTGATTTGAGTTTAGAGTCTTAGTTTTTTTTATTTAACCTATTTAACCTGGGACTTTCCTATATTTTATACTTTCCTCGAATTCAACTCTTGTAACTAAACCGTTCTATACTTCTATACTCAATTAAGGAATAGAGTTCAAAAAGTTTTTGTTTTCATTGTTTAAGCAGCAATTTCTTATTTTTTTTTCATAAATCTAAAATAAAACAAAAAAGGGATTTTGACGACAAAATAGAAAGAAAAGAACCAATTTTGCATCGCTAAAAATTCACAATTAGTCATACAAAATTTCATTAAGCAATTTTCTCTATTGGGTTAAGGGCAAGATATACATGGGGGTCTATATAATAATTCAGAGAAAATAAAAAGGTTTCAAAATAGAATCAATTACTTTCAATGAGTTCTTAACTTTCACTAAAGATTTTTATATACGTTCTTCTATAGATATGCAAATATAGAATTTTATTTGCATTTTATTCTGCAAATAGGTCGATGGGGAAAATAAAACTCCCCACCTTGGAATAGAAATGATCTTTATTCTTTTGTCAACAAAAAAGTTATTATTCAGTGAATAGTAAATAGAGGATTTCCTAATTCTATTATTTTATATATCAATCAGAAAAGCGAATAGAGTTCCGTTACATATGGATTGGTGAGCTAATCAATATCAAATAGGAAAGGTAAATCGTTCAATTATTCAATTATTATCTAATTGAAGAATAATTGAATTATTTTTTCAAGTTGATTCAAATTATTCTAACGTTTTATTACTTATTTATTTTTGTTTGGCGTACAAAAAAACTTTTTGAATTCCCGGTAGAAAGAGATTTCGCTAATGAAAAAGCCTTTAATGCTACCCAATACCCCTTCCTTTTCCAAATATTTTTACGAATACGCTTTTTTGATGTCGAAGTGCGTTTTTTTGGAACTGCCATTTAGAAATTAAAAAATTATTGATTGTTATAGCTGGATGTGAAAGACATCTATTGTTCAAAACGAATTCTTTTTACTACTATTTATTTTCGAGCTAATAGTGTCCTCCTCAAATAAAACATTATCGAGATAGGCAAAAGCTATGTGAAAGTTGCAGAATACTGGAAATAAAAACAGAAGGCCAATATTTTTTTTTTTTCAAGTTTTTCTATTTCATAAAACATTCATAATCGTAAAAAAGAAAAGGTTCTCTATTGACTGGTATCTTTATTTCACATTCTTTTTGATTCATCAAATCTATACCTATAGAATTTGATAATCGGCTGTTCTGTAGAAATGAAGAAAGAAAATTTGTTGAACTTAATATAAAAATCAAAAATAAAATAACGAATCCCAAAAATATTCGATTTCTATTTATGGTTCCACATTTCATTTACATGCAATAAAATACCTCGAAAGGTTTAAAGATAAGAACCGCGTTTTACTTCAGGAAATGAAAAACTTGAATCCCCGTTCGATTCACTGGTCAAACTTGGATAAAAAATAGGCTTATTTCAAAGGAGACTAGTAATTAATCCCTTTTATATCATTTGACCAATCGTAACTTCGTGATTTGAATAGTTGAAGTATTTAGCAAAGACTCAGAATAAGTAAGAAAAAAAAATTCTATTTAAGTTTTAAATTAGTTTAAGTTAGTCCATATTTTTACTTTTTATTGACTCCTTTCAAAAGAGGTAAGATCCGGTGAATCGGAAACAATTAATTAAGAATTTAAAACTTTTTTATGGAACAGACATATGAATATGCGTGGATCATACCTTTCATTCCACTTCCAGTCCCTATGTTAATAGGAGCGGGACTTATTCTTTTTCCAACGGCAACAAAAAGTTTTCGCCGTATGTGGGCTTTTCAGAGTGTTTTATTGTTAAGCATAGTCATGATTTTTTCAATCTACCTGTCTATTCAGCAAATAAATAGCAGTTCTGTTTATCAATATGTATGGTCTTGGATCATTAATAATGATTTTTCTTTAGACTTCGGATACTTGATCGACCCACTTACTTCTATTATGTCAATATTAATCACTACTGTTGGAATTATGGTTCTTATTTATAGTGATAATTATATGGCTCATGATCAAGGCTATTTGAGATTTTTTGCTTATATGAGTTTTTTCAGTACTTCCATGTTGGGATTAGTTACTAGTTCGAATTTGATACAAATTTATATTTTTTGGGAATTGGTTGGGCTGTGTTCCTATCTATTAATAGGATTTTGGTTTACACGACCTGT